CGTCTCTGGATGTTAAAATGTTGGGATCAGAACGTCAAGTCGTTAACTTATTTTATCTCATTTTATTGACGTAAGAAACAATTTGCACAGTAACACACAAAAAGCTAAAAAAACAAAAGTATTGGTTTGGGTGAGCGTTGCTGGGTGGTGGAGCACCAGGCCGGTGAACCGGCGCCGTCCCAAAGGGTTTTAAAGGAGAGTTTGAATGGTAAGAAGAAGAAACCATAACTTTTTAAAATAGCTGAATAGACTTGTGTAGGAAATGATCAGCCGCTGAAAATAAAAAAGACGTTTTTTTTTCCTTGACTAAGTACTTCCCCTCTGTCTAAAGTCACAAACTGAGGAAAAAAAGACTATTTTGAATTATGCAAAACACACTTTTTCCGTCCTATACTTTCCTCTCTGGGCTTTTATCACTATTAGTGTATAACAATGTCTTATCCTCTATTTGGAGCAGAGTCCTACAAGAACATCGGGTGCTCCAACTAGAGTTTGGTGGATTTTCTGTAGTTGAAATCACTTCCAGTCTTCTCTGTGGTCGTGGTCCTGCAGGGACACAGGAACACCCAGAAGTTCAAGCAACAACAATCACAAAGAGCAAAAGAAAGTCTCATTGACAATAGTTAACAGTCAACTCCTCCTAGACACGTGACCTTTTAGTATACACAGTCTATTCTAGATTAAACCTTGAATAAAGATTGAACCGAGGGGCCAGGAGTCTTGTGTGACGTGTTCTTACCCGTTGGCCTTTGCGTCATCCGCTGAGTCGGGCAACTCTTTTCTGCCTGTTTCAGGAAGCAAGAGGACGAGGGCTCCACTGACCACCGCCAGGCTGCTGAAGATGATGATGGGAACGGAGCGATGATAAACGGCTAACATGTTGATCAACGGGGACAGCAAGCCCGCCACTCTGTAAGCCAGAGAGCCTAAGCCAACAGCAGTCTGCCTGGAAAAAAAGAAGAAAAAGAAAAAGAAAAGCGAAGCCCCGGAAATTAATTTCAATGACAAAGTGAAGATGGAAATATCTCCAGGCATAGTTTCATCTTACAAACCTGACAGTGGTGGGAAACAGCTCCTGGATGTAGACCATAGCAACTGAACCGGCCCAGTTCAAAAAGAATTTTCCTACCGATACGAGGACTGTGACGACTACGGCGCTGTCTGGAAGGAAAACGGAGAAATGTTCCATGGTGACAGACGGGAATTTCTTCATTCATGTGTTAGCATGTGTGTGTGTGAGGGAGGGGGAGTTACTTTCAGGGAAAGCCAGGGTTAAGAGGCAAACTAATCCACCCATCAGAAGTGTTGATACCAGAGACTTCTTCCTCCCCAAGACCTCCAGGACCCAGATGCAGAGGAGGTGTGCGGGGGCCTCGGAAATCCCGAAAAGGAACTGAGCCAGAAAGATGTTCAGCCCAAACTTACCCACGTTCAAAACGAGGCAGAAGTAGCCCAGGTTTAAAGAAAACCTTTAGATTGTGAGGACAAAATACAGAGCTTAATATGTGATATTCACTATCAACCCACAACTTTTGACTCAAAGGGCTCCCTTACCAGGCAAAAGAAATAATGAGGAGGTGTTTTACCAGGACTGCTGAGGTGAAAATGGTTTTAAAGCCCCCACTCTGGACTTTCTGTTCCCCAACCACCTGTCAAGGAAATGTTTTATTTCAACTGAGAGAAAATGTTTAAAAAGAAAGAAAAAAAGAAGTTATTTAGGACAACCATCTTAGCGGAATAAAGCCACGATGTTTACAACCTACGAAAGAAGCTTTGATAACCACCTCACATTTACAGTGAGGAGATCTGATAGCAAAGCATTTGGCTTTGATCCATATCAGCTATTTTGTCTCCTAAACTTCATTCACCTGTTGCTTTTATCTAGCAGGGAGATCTCATTCATTGAAAATAAATGGATGAGAATAAATGGTTGAGATTGATTTTCACTGGTGTGAAAGTCAAAGGTTTGGTAAAGGTACTTTAAATCCATCTTTATACAAACATCATCTCTGCTTATCGTTTATTTAACAGCTATTGTCCCCATTTCAGAGCATATTTGCTTATTTAGTTTATAAAGAAATTGCTTTTCATTGTAGGGATATTTTTTCCTCTTTTAGCCAGAAACATTACATTTTTTCCAGGTTAAAACTGCAGAGAAAAATAAGCCGTTTGCATTTTGACTCCCAGCTAAACTGTTTCCTGTTAGGTCTGGTCAGTCTAATGTGACATAACCCAGCTGAATCCGATTGACCTCATCCAGCAGATCCTCTTGGATTTCCTTTTTATTGATCGCTGCTACTTTTCGTATCAATGTCTTGGCTTCTGCAGTTCTTCCCTGCCCCAGCAGCCACCTCGCCGACTCAGGAATCCACCTTAAAAAGATCAAAACGGGCATGTTTCTTTTCAAACTCTTTAGCAATCCGGCTCCCTCCAGCCACGAGCCTGTGTAAATGATCTAACGTCTTCCTGTTAACAGTTGGTGAAGGCCACCAATCCAGGCCCTGCAAACGGCACCCACCAAATGTACACGAACACCAGGGCCTGCGCTCCCGCCATGACGTACTGGGCTTTCCTCCAATCACGGACGACGTACACCAGCCCAGCCATGGTGCACTGGCCCAGACAGGAAAACAGCTGACTCATGCAGGAGGCCAAGGACCTCCTGGAGATCCCAATCCACTCGGTGGATGCAAAAGAGTGGAAACTCCAAAATGACCGCAGGGCTCCAGACTCCGATTCTTCACTTTAAGAACTCAGAGGAGAGCGGGGTGATAGAGGGAATCATACCCAGCACCACAGAGTTGATTCGGTATCCTCCGAGCGCGGCTCCGACCACGAACTGCGACGCCATGTAGACGGCGAAGTTTGGGGCCAGTCCGGCGGCCGCGGAGAAGGCCAACAGCAGGACGATAGGTATCTGGGTGGTCCTCCTGCGTCCGTACCTGAGCTCCAGACAGCGAGAGGCAGTTACCCCTCCAGCCCCGGGGGGATAGAGAAAACAACCCCGCCATCTTTCCCCGGGGTGCTTACGAATTTGCTCCCGGCCCAAAGACGAAGGAACCGGCGAGCATGCCCGTCATGAAGATGGTCTGGGACACCTCGGCCATGTTGGACCTTTCGCAGACGAGATCGAACTGCAAACATAAACCAGCGGGGTGACGGGGGGCCGGAGGGGGGCCCCCAGCCGCCCGCCCTCCTCTACTCACGTCTGTGACTATGGTGGACTGGTAGGGCGTGTGGCCGTACACCCAGCCGTCCCGGCACGTCGTGGTGGCGTTCAGGCCGTATTTCCGGATGGCGTCCAGGTCCCAGTCCACGGGGACGAACATCCGACACCGGCTGAGGCTGCCGTCGTCCTCCCTGGGCAGGGTCAGGTTCAGCCGATCGTCCCGGGTCAGGTTGGGGGCCGCGGCCAGGATCCAGGCGGTGTCGCAGTGTCTCTCCGGGTCCGAGTCGATAAACAGAAAGCTGCTGAAGAAGATCGGGAGCAAGAAATTGGGAAAGGCTAACAGGAGGATAAGAATCTTTTGGAAGAGGCCAAAGTCTCCGATGGTCCGCAGGATCTCCCCAAATTCCACCATCGTTACAGGACAAATGACCTCTTCAGGGGCCTGAACGGCTTTTTATAGCTCAGCTGAAAATCAATCTGTAACCATTTTACTGTAAAGTGTAACCTTAATATAAGCTTCCTTACCTAATGGTTTACCTGTTAAAGAAAAGGATGAGAACTACGCTGAATAAGACACCCTCACTCGTCGATTTCCATCATGTGACTTTATTCAAATGCTAAAAATCAGTTTGTATGCGCTGAACAATGCAGATCATCAGTCCAGGAATCTCCTTTACATCTTTGATCAAATATTCCATCACCAATTCTGTACTTTGGGGCATACACGTTTTACAATTAGGCGCAATTTTAAAATATCTGATATGAAAAAAAGAAAAGAAAAAATTAAAATAGAAATATGCTCTTGCCAATCCAAATCAAGTAGATGTACAAAAAAAGTCAGAGACTTTCAGCAGAAACTCTCAGTTCACTCACTCACACGCGCGTGTGCGTGCACAGACAGGGTGACGCACAACCGTGCCGGGTGCCTTGTTCCAGCGGCCTGGACTGGCCTTGGTGAGGAAAAACATCATGACATCAAAGGAGAGGGCGTGAGCGCCAGCCCCGGGCAGCTTCAAATGACATGTTAACGTATGAATAAGGTGCAGACTGAACTAATAATCTGTGCATGATTAGTAACACTCCGACAGAAAGCCGAGAGCGGCGAAACACTACAAAACAAATCAAACGCTGTCCTGGACAGGAGGAGTCTTGAATCGGGGGAAATCGGCCTCGTTTGGTATTTACACGGAAATGTTCCTTTAATCCGAAATGTACACTTAAAACAGTCAATGGCATCTACATTATTACACATGAGCCTCGTGATGTCGGGGTGACAGTGCGCGGAGTTGCCGTCCTATGTACATTTTACAACGTCTTTACATACACCATTTACATCAGTACCTGAAGGAGCGGGCGGGCGGCCACGCCGGGAGTGACGACAGTGATTCTGTTGCTGAGTGTTTTTAAAAAAAGAAAAAAACTGAAAGAAAAAAATGTATAATGCAAAGAAACTACAGTACTGTCAAGAAAAACTGCCTAGAAAAAGAAGGAGAAATCTCAAGGATAAAGAAAAAGAAAACAAATTTTGATAAAAACTAAAGCACTAAGTGGCTGCTGTGGATGTTCAGGGTTGCTTCACTCGGTGTTCAAAATGCTTCGTCCCGTTCTGTCAGGATTCAGAGGCAGAAGCTCT